CTAACTAAATACATGCCTATAAATAGGTGCATATATTTCAATATGATATGTCACAGACATCCAATTATACTACTACATTCCCCCTTTCCTTTCCCCCCCTCTTGAGGTGGACAGCAAGAGGGTGGGTATTGGTATAATATACAGGCCATCCAGGGGATGACTATAAGGAAATGTATGTCCTTTATGACAATAGTTGTTACAAGTAACACAATAATTACCATAGCAGGAGGTCTACAAGCAATATAGATAACAGAGAACCTGTGTTAAGACAACAGACCCAAAGGTGAAATATCTTTTAACCCATTTCCATATAGTGGAAAAGTTAGGAATTGACAATAATACATGTTCCACACTTGATTCTTGCATTGATTCTAAATTCTGAACTTGCTTATGAATTATTGCTATATCACTTTCCATTTGTTGTGTTCATTAATCCAAACAGTAGAAGGAATTCACTAACTTACATGATCCTTGTGAAGTAAGTTAATCCAAAGCCATTCTATTATCCATACTACAAGTGGAGAATTTCTACTTTTTTTGTATAGTATGCAAAGCATTGGTTAATGCATGAAAGGCCTATTCTACTTTAATGATACATTCAAAATATCTTTTTGTAATTCATAGACCTCCAAATTTGGTAGTAAAATTTTTAATGCATTACTGTATTGTATTAACAGAGTTGTCTTCCTATCAAAGGGTTCTCAATACATCTAGGAAATCTCAAATGTTGGGGATCACTAATTTATATGGATATACATTTACTAGTATGTTGTCCTTAGAGCTTTCCTCAAAAATTCCCAGTTAACATTTTATTAGCATGTTCTCCATATAATAATAATAATAATAATAATAATAATAATAATAATAATAATAATAATAGTAGTAGTAGTAGTAGTAAAGTTGGAAGGGACCTTGAAGGTCATCTAGTCCAACCCCCTGCTCAGGCAGGAAACCCTATACCATTTTGGACAAATGGCTGTCCAGTCTCTTCTTAAAAACTTCCAGTGTTGGAGCATTCACCGCTTCTGGAGGCAGGTTGTTCCACTGGTTAATTGTTCTCACTGTCAGGAAGTTTC